TTGTAACACTCCAAAGAGAAAGGAAAACTTGAAATCGCATCATATGACCCCTTTAAACGGTTTAAAAAGTCATTTATTTATTTATTTTTCCAGTAATTTATCTAAATATTAAAAAAGATTTGCTGCGTGGTTAAAATAGCCTACGCTACGTGTATAAAAAAATGTTTTTTAGAGAAAAAAAAAACAAGTCGCGTATGAGTCGAATTGTATTATTTCATTCAGAAATAGGCCTAATGCTGACGCGAAATGTTATATAAACGGCAAGCCAAAACTAATTCATTTAGGCTAAAATGAAACTGAAACCAACGGTGGGTCTCTCATTCGACACAAAATCAAATGTTTCCGTATTCGCGATGTATTGGAATGCCAAAATATTATTTATTAGGCCTATGTACTTCACTCGCATTCCAATATCCACGTAAAACAAAATGTTTTGCAAAACATCACGGCGGTACTGTGATAACACTTAACGGCACAGATTCTACTACATATTTAAACTGAGCAGTGTGTTTTTTTCCCCCCATATGTTTGACTGACTGTATTTTATTATGATAATGAACAGGCTGCATTGTGTGCGCACATGTGGCGCCGGCGCAATTACTTGAATTGTTTCCTACTAACAGTGGAAGCAACTACTCCTTTTAGTCAAAGAATAAAGATAATCGGAATTGTAAAAGGTTTGCCTTTATTTGTGTACATTCACAATAAAAACATGTAATCAAATGTTTCCGTATTCGCGATGTATTTGAATGGCAAATTATTATTTATTATGTACTTCACTCGCATTCCAATATCCACGTAAAACAAAATGTTTTGCAAAACATCACGGCGGTACTGTGATAACACTTAACGGCACAGATTCTACTACATATTTAAACTGAGCAGTGTGTTTTTTTCCCCCCATATGTTTGACTGACTGTATTTTATTATGATAATGAACAGGCTGCATTGTCAAGGTAGCAAAGCTTAACTGTGTGCGCGCATGCGGCGCCGACGCAATCACTTGAATTTTGTCCTTCTAACAGTGGAAGTGCCTTCTCCTTAGTTATAAAGATAATCAGAATTGTAAAAGGTTTGCTTTTATTTGTGTAGGTAGCAATGCTTAACTGCACGCGCATGCGGCGCCGGCGCAATCACTTGAATTATTTCCTTCTAACAGTGGAAGAAACTACTCCTTTTAGTCCTAAAGATAATCGGAATTGTAAGAGGTTTGCCTTTATTTGTGTACATTGGCAATAAAAACAAATCTTTGTGCTTTTGTAAAATAAACCTAAAGAAAAATAGGATGCCGCTTTCTGCTGTCTGTTTCTTTCGCGCAGCACAAAAATGAACCGAAACTCTACAAGGCTACTTGTTACAGTTTTTCTTTCATTTTCTTCATTTATTATTTAAGTAAAGATATATTTCTCGTATAGGCCTATTTATTCATTATATATATATTAGGGATGTACATCTCCATGACTGAGGCCGATATGATACGCATCTCGAAGCATAGCCAACGATACGATATATTAAAGATACATATGAAGCAGCTACCGATGCGATGCGATAAGATTCACCCCATTACGATGCAGTGCGATCCGATTTCGATTCGATTCAATTCAACACAATGCGATTCGATGCAATATGATGCAATGGAGAAAATATGATCACTTTTAATGCCTCGAGGCCTGTTTCATAAAACAAGATAACCTTCGCTTTCACAACGAAGCACACAGCGTCTTCACGACATGGCTGCAGCGTCAACAATACTACAGTGAGACTAAAAGTTACGCCTTCTTTCTTTGCATGAACATTTGGGCGGCGTTATGCAAATCTTCCCACATAGTGAGGTAGATATGTGGGGGCGTGTTAGAACGAGACGTTTTAGGTAGGTGTGGCTGACTCTTTTATAAAGAATATTTCTTTGGATTTGAAACACTCCAAAGAGAAAGGAAAAATTTAAATCGCATCATATGACCCCTTTAATAATCAGTGAAGGACTTTTCAAATATGGTTTTTTACACTGTTACATTTTTGATTTTATGCCTCAGAAAAAAATAACAAAATGAATAATAATTTAGAAATTAAATACTTTATAATTACAGAAGAGATGTATTCAATGCATTATGTGTTATCTGCATTTTTAATGTATTTTAATGTAAATTTATTTAAATGTTATACACCAATTAATAGAAATGTCATTCACTCAAATATACACTACGATTCAAAAATGGTAAGATCTGTTATTGTTTTTGAAAGACATCTTTTGTGCTCACCAAGGATGCATTTATTTGATAAAAATATAGTAAAAGAATAATATTATAAAATAATAACTGTTTTATGTTAACATATTTTCAAATGTAATTTATTCCTGTGATGGCAAAGCTGAATTTTCAGCAGCCATTACTTCAGTCTTCAATGTCACAAGATCTCTGAATATTCTAATTTTTTAACATTATAAAAGTCTTTACTGTCACTTTTAATCATTTTAATTTACTGACCCAAACTTTTGAACAACAGTGTGTGTTAGAGAGACTATATACACACACACACACATATATCCTCAGTTTCTTGTGCTTTTCATTATTACAGTTTGTTCAAATAATGAATTATTATTTTCTTGTGCAGAAGTTCTCCATCTCCCAGGTTAAGGAAAAGAGAGTTGTACAGGGAGATCCGTTCTCACGTGTGGGGTACTCTGGGTAAAAACCAGCTCCATGGCTGGAGCATGCCTCTCGGTGTTACAAACATAAAGGTAAACACACATCTATATCTTGTTACCTATAGCACCAGTTATAGAGCCGTCTACACCCCGAAGTGCATCTGAAACATAGATTTTCCCAGTGTGCTTCTAAACAATATCTACAAATAATGGATGGAATTATTAATCTGTTTGTCAGTTGATTCTGAAAGTGTGTGTGTTTGTGTGGAACAGGACTCTGAACTCCCTCCTGAGCCCAAAGATGTGCCCGTCCTCATCCAGCTGAGACTGCTGGACCAGAGAGATGCTACAGCGAAGGTGAGAGTCCCTGAACAGTCATTCAGTGTTATTTTAGTATTATTTATATACTATTTTGAATTAGCCTTTTTTAATTGTTTTGCTTTAGTTGTTTTATATCTGTCTGTCTGTCTGTGTGTTTCATTTTCATTCATTTTTGTTTATTTTTGTAAATATTTATATTAAGCTATTATTTATTTTAATTTCAGTGTTAGTCTTACTCATTTTAATATTTCAACATTAAAGGGATAGTGCACACAAAAATGAAAATTGTCATCATTTACGCACCCTCCACTTGTTGCAAATCTGTATGAGTTTCTTTATTAAGCTGAACACAAAAGAAGATATTTTTAAGACTGTTGGTAACCAAAAAGGTGACGGTAGCCATTGACTTCCACAGTATTTTTTTCCATACAATAGAAAGTCAATGGTTACCATCAACTGTTTGCTTACCAACCTTCTTCTTTTATGTTCAGCAGAAGAAAGAAACTCATACAGTTTTGGAAATAAGTGAATGAGGACAGAATTTTCATTTTTGGGTGAACAATCCCTTACTTCAGTTAATTCAGTAACATTTTCTAATTTTAAAGTTTTTTTTATTATTATTTTTAGCATTTCGTCTAATATTCATATTTTATTTTA